CTCTCACGGCTCCACGCAACTGGCGCCAGGGCCGCGGGAGCTGAGTAAGCAGCGCTGGGACAACCGGCCTGCGAGCTGCTGAGGGAAGGAACCCTGTCAGATTTGACAGGGCCACGCACTCCCCTCCACCCCCTTCCCGCCAAAGGAAAGTTCTGGGCGTTTACGAATAGGAAGTGAGGCACTGTGGCTATCCCCCTTGATTATCTCTTTTCAGGTAGTACCGCCACAGGAATGACGGTGAACACACCTCTCTGTTTTAGAGGAAAGAAGATCCTGGCTCCAATGGTCCGAGTGGGAACATTACCAATGCGTCTTCTTGCTCTGGACTATGGTGCTGATATTGTGTACTGTGAGGTATGAAAGATGAGGCTGTCTTACCAGATAAGATTAAGACAAGTACAAATAGACTTTACTGTAGAACTTTTTCCTTTTACATACATTTTTCATTAGAAAAAATGGGGAAAAAAGAATCTATGGTTTAAGGCATTTCCCTTTGAGCAGTCCTCAAGTTGTGACAAACCCCTATTTTAAGACAGTTCAAAAGTTTCAATTTAGACAAATCACTCACCATAACAATTTCCTCACATTCTACTATGTTTTGCTTTTTGATAGTTTTTGGGGGGGGCATAGGGTATGATTTTTAATTTTTTGAGCAGAGTCATAACATTGAAGGAAGTCTTACACTAACCTACCCTCTCACCTGGATAGTTCTACTGTGCTAACCCAGAGCATCCATATATACTCCTCATGGCACTGCTGCCCTTGTTGCTTAACCACTTTTCTTAAAGCTGCCTGAAGTTGAGGCTCTGGTTTGCTGCAGATATTGGTAGGACTGCTCTGTAACTTAAGGTACTTAGTCTTCACTATCCTTATTGTTGCAGTGCATCAGTATTCCCATTTTCCCCTTCAGTGCTATTAGCTCTTCTCAAATGTAGGTACCAGTACAAGACACATGACTCAGCTGAGATTGTTTTTTAAAAAACAACACAATAAAGAGTTAAACATAATGTAAACATGGCCTAAATACTCGCTTTCCTGGAGAAAGTTTGATCTGTGCTAGTAGAACAGACTGAAAAACTGTCAGAATAAGTAATTTACAGTGTTCTCCAGGAATCTTCACAGCAGTTCTCTTGTGAGTTAGCTTGCTGCTCTTTGTGGGAGAGAAGAAAGGAAAGATTTGTTCTCAGAGAGACAGTATGCTGGTTTTATCTTGACCACAGCTCACCTTTTGTCTCTACCTTCTAGACCTATGAGTGCTATTTAATTAGTTGGATCACCTCCATGTGAAAGAATAGTTATTGCTGGATGATTCAGAAATCTCAACATTCAGTAGATTAGATACTGCAGTCATAAAGTTGGGAATAATAAGATGTTTTTCCTCTTTTGACAAAGATAATTAACAGTTTCCCAGTTTATGAATTATGACCTCTCTGCTTTACATGGGATTAATTAAGAATATATATTTTTTAATTCTCTTAGAGGCTAACTTTAGATCATGTGTAGAGAAATCACAAGTATAGAGTTACAGAATCTAGGAGTCTTAAACACTAGAAGTGAGTCAGGGTTCAGACAGCCTTTGTGCTTTTACAGTATCTCTTACACTTCTTAGTAATAGCAAAGAACCTTGTTACTGAGCAGTTACTGGATTTCACTAACTACAGATTTGACAGGATGATTGTATAGAAAGTTAGTAGAAGATAATGATGTAGAGATTGTTTTTAAAAATGACAACCAAAACCCACAACAAACCACACACATCAAGGTATTACTTTGCTTACTGCTGAAGTCATAAGGTATGAGAAGTTAATGTATCCAGCACTATAATCAGTATAGCTAAAGCAGTTTCTCTCACATGCTTTTTGCCACAATTCCAGAGAAACAGTATCTCAAAAGGAGAGACCCTCAAACTTACTTAACAAGTTGCAGTATGTAACAAAATTTATTCCTGTAGCCAAGAACTTAGAGTTTTCCTCATCTCACCTCAAAATTATTATCTCCTATGCTGTCTTTTTTTCCACATTGCTGTTGAGAGACAGGAGAGTTAGGATGCCTTTGACATGGATTAGTGTTCACAGTTAGAGATCTGTCTTAAGTTTTATCAGAAATACTATACTCCATAGGCTATCTTAAGAACTGACAAGACAGTATAAAATAGAGTTGTTTTAGGCAATTACATTGTAGTTATCTAGCAACAGAACAGCTTAGATAACTGTATTTTGTAGTTTCACTTCTATATGGTAAAATTTCATTTTTTTGATTTATCCTTTTGTTTTCTTTCACCCCAATCCCATCAATACTTAGAGGCTCAAAGCTGTTTCAGAACTTAACATGAATAGTACCTGATAAGAAGCATTAGTTAAAAACTTAAATTAAAAGCACTACTTATAAGACCTATAATATAATGTAAACAGATTGAAATTAGACTAATTTGTTGCTTGCTTATTCCTTACCTGTAAATCAGCAGGTTTTAAACCTTGTCTTATTTGTTAAGGCAAGGATTCTATAGTAGACTGAGCTTCTTCAAGTAACTAACACTATACTATAGGAAGGTTTTTTCCTCAATTTATATAACTGTTGGATTTACAGCTGCATATTTATTTCAGCTGCTAACAAGTTTTATTGGTTCAAGCTGTAGCCCTTTGTTAATTAAAGCCAGTCAGTTTGTCTTAAAACTCGCCTATAATCAAGTTGATGAGATACATATGAGAAAAGGACTCAAACGTGTGCTTAATAAATGGAATTGCATAAATCTGCTGTTAAGTTAGTATATGTAGATTGAAGTTTTGGTTTTTAAAGGAAAGCCATAAACTGTAGAAGAATGGTAACTGTATGTTAGGCTCTCCAGTAAAGGCTAATACAAAGCTTTTTTTTTTGTTTGTTTTTTAACAAAAGTGGGGAAATGTTAAGACTCAGAATTAAGGTAAAGAAGCCTTAAACTGAAGACTGCTGTTTTGCTCATCTATGTGTTTGTCCAGTACAAACCTCCATTGATTCTTGAGGTGATCTGTTGCTATAGTATTGTTATCTTTACCTTCTACTCTAGATAGTTCATTCTATTTTGTTTCCAGCTTGCTAGATAGGTATTTGAACAAAATGGTTCTTCTAGAGCTATGTAAATGTCTTGTATTCCTATATTCATATGAATATATTTTGGAAACGCTAGTTGAATGTATTGTATAGTTAAGCTCTTGTTTGTATTTGCATTCTTTTTCTATATTTGGTATCTCTAGATAGTTATTTAATAAAATGGGTAACTGTTTAGAGCTGGGTGGCTTAAACACTTCAACTCACTTAGATATTTTTATTCTTCTCAGGAGCTGATTGATATAAAGATGCTGCAGTGTAAGAGGGTTGTAAATGGTAAGTATAGTATTTCTTTTGTTAATATCTGTAAGTGTTCTTTTTTTCTAGTTAAGTAAAAAGATAATTATTTTTCTGAAGTAATTTTATAGTGATTATAATGAGGTATCATTCCATATAATCTCTCTCAACTGTGTCTAAGGACTTAAAATAAGCTTTTGAAGTGCTGCCCTACACCTGTCTGCTGCTCTATAGTTTCAAACGTTCAGTTTCCCTTCTTAAGGAATTTCAATAGTTCAGTTAGTGTCCCTCAGGAAAACCACAAATGTTTATGTTAGGGTTAACATATTAGTAACAGACAGTTTATTATTCTTTTTAGAGCCCTAACACAAAGTCTTTCTCTACCATTGACTTAGTTTATTACAAGGTTTCAATGATTTTTCTGTTAAACTCTTTGACAGAGGTCACATCACTGGGTGGGCAGGTATAGGCCTTCTGAAGTGAAATACTATATAATTTTAAATGGTGGAATTATGTCTTTCCCTTTTTTAGTACGAAAAGTGGGATCAGTGTTGGAAATCCATTACTAATCTTTCAGCATTATGCTTCCTGGCAGTAGGCGGAAGAAACTAGTAGCTGGAATAGACAGGACATTAAAGTTCTAGGGTATTGTTTAAAATGTTAAAGCTTTTAGTTTTATGTGGGTTAAAAGGACAAATAATAAAATTGTAATTAACTGCTAACCCTTCTCAATTCTGTATCTACATACTGGATTCAGCCTCTCTATTGCCTTTGTATGCTATTATAATAAAGAATAAACAGTGAAAAACTCTTGTTTTCTTTTGCGGTTTTTTGTTGTTGTTTTTTCTTCAGAATTTTTACATGTGTATGTGCTAATATAAAATCTAATTTTCTGAGCAAAACTACTAATATTAGTTACAAAGCCTTTTAATTTTTCAAGAAAAGTTTGATAGTGTCCATGAAACAAATTCATTTGGACTGTAGTAGAGACAATTTCCAATCGTGAGTTTTTATAAATGCTAGCTGTTTGTAACATTACAATATACACACATTTTAGTCTACTGCAATAAGGAAGCAAGACATACAAGATCTCACTGTTTATCATTCTTTTATTAATTTGAGGTCCATGGGCTAGATTTGCCCTAACACGATTTTCACAGACAAGCTTTTAGGAAGATATCTTTGAGACCTCCCCAGCTGAGTGGCATGAGAAACAGTTGTTTGTAGTGTCCCCGTTGGGGAACGGAAGTCCACTACAAATCTACTTTCCCTTCCTGCCCCTTACCGAAAGTAGTACTGTTATGTTTATTCTGGCTGATTCATCACTGGACTTGTTCTGGTGCTGATGCTTGCCTGAGAAACAGGCTGGGGGATGATTAGGGAGTACTGTGGGAGGGAAACAGCAATGTCCAATAATGTACTGCGAGGACATGTGGCAGGGTGCCGTTAGTTCAGCTGTTCATGGAGGACTTATTTGATAGCATTTTCATTTATATACAAGTTACGTAGTCATATGACTTCCTTTAAGATTACATTTGTATATAACTTTTGTCTGTTTTATCTGTTTCTCATATCATATAGAAGTACTTGAAACGGTGGACTTTGTTGCACCTAATGAAAGAGTTGTTTTCAGAACTTGTGAAAGGGAGAGGCACTGTGTTGTCTTTCAAATGGTAAGAAACCAACTGCAGGTACTCTTCTAACAGCATAGTTAAACGAGGTAGTGCTAGTAACGTTAGTCTAAAGCAGCTCTCATTGCAGACAATATATTCAATTTCTTGATGCTTCAGGTGGGGGTATCTGTTGATATACATGTGATCAGTATGCTACATTATAAGCTCTCTGTACAGCTGTTTTCAGAAGAGGTGATTGAGATGAATTCTGTGCTCTATGACAGCAGCTTGTTTTTATAATAGTCTATTATATATTTCTGAATGTATAGATACTAAATATGCTGATGTTTGATCACAAGTTTGTCTTGCACTGTCCAGTAAACAGTCTCACTGGAAAGACTAAAAGAAATGGCATTGTTTAGTGTAGACAGGAGAGGATTAATGTGTGCATTAACATTGCACAAATGGATTAAAGGCTGCTGGAGAGAAAGATAGTAATTTGGTCTTTGAGATCACTCTGTTTAGGATAAGAGATGATGGGTGTTGGAGGGAAGGAGAAGCATGGACTGCATTAGATACTGAAAAAGACCTTTTTCAGTGGTAATGATAGCCCTGGAATAGGTTGCTTGTAGAGGCTGTACAATTCTTGTTAGCAAAGCTTCTTAAGAATGTGATAAATATCTAAGGGTGATGGGCTAAGAACATTTGATACTGCTGTAGGTTAAGAGGGTGGACAGACCTCTCCATATCCCTTTTTGCATCACCTTTTGTCATTCCGTGGCTGACTCTAGTACATGCTTTAGCTAAATGTTTCAGCTATCCATTGTGCCCTGAATGGGTCTTTGTCACTTTATACTGAATGTTTAGAGCAAATATAGTTATAACCGTGCACAAGTGAACATTTTTTTTATTAATTTGATGATATTTGCTAATTATAAATCCCCTTGTTTTACCAATAGGGTTCGGCAGATGCTGAAAGAGCCCTGGCAGTAGCTAAGCTTGTGTAAGTCATCTTCTCTCACCTCCTTCCCGCTGTGGGTTGGTTTGGGGGTTTTTTTTGTGCAGGGGAATTGTTGTGGAAGACATTTTTTTATGATAGAGAGGATCAAGGTAGGTCTTGATAGGACAAAGAAAAGTTACGTAGGAGCTGCTCAGTCAAGTGTAGCACCTCAAACGGACAGTAGTATAATAATGCAACTGCAGCTTCTATTTAAAATAACTTTTGCTCAAAGCAGCAGCTGCGTAACTTCTATACTGGGACTGATGGCTTTTGGCTAGTGCAGTAAGTGTGTCCTTGATATGAAATTTCCCTGGGTATTGCACAGCTGCAAGTAAGACCGATATGCCTGAAAATGTCTCCTACTTTTTGTGGCTTGAAGCCCGCAATAAAGTTTTCTGCAGAAATGAAAAGTGTTTCTCAAACCTTTTTTAGAAGGTGTTTTTAAGCCTCAATTTTAAATAGATGGAAGTTTCAATAGGACTTGCTTTAGTGACAGTGGTGGATGTAGTTATGTATACTTAATCCTATAGAAACATATTTAAGATGAACATTTGCAGCTTATGTGCAACACCAGTCGTTGAAACCTGTGGAAAGACTCATCTTCAGACCACTGTTAAAATTAATATGTAACTTAGAAGTGAGAAGCTAAAAATTCAGAAGTTCAAATAAAAACTTAGCCTTAAATTCTCATTTAGGCCTTAATGATGATGGAACAAGCTTCCTGGAAAGATTTCTATTTTCTGGTTCATGTTCTAATATGCTGAAAAATATTTTTAATTGTTTCTTTCTTCTCTTCTAGAGAGAGTGATGTAGCTGGTATTGATATCAACATGGGATGCCCAAAAGAATATTCTACTAAGGCAAGTGGATTTTGATTACTCTTAAATAACTTTCTACTTTCTTAGAGGTGTGGAATACATGTTCTGGTTTTCTGGATTGAACAAATTCAAGCAGTAAAATTTTCATGCAGATAAACTTGAATTTATTTTTTTGCAATAAGCAAGAGAGTCTTGAAGGTGTCATGCCCCTAATACAGTAAAATAACATAGTTTATTAGAAGTCTCCCTTAAGAATGGGTTTGGTCATATAATTAAACATACATATCTTTAAGTGATTAAGCACGTATGAAGTTTATAAGCTCAGGTTAGTGTGGATGTGTACCACTGAGCAAGCAGTGATTGTATTTTCTGTTGAGACAACCACTGAACACTGAGAAAAATGTAGTGAGGTTGTTAAATTGTGTTATTGTACAAAGTTAATGCTATTTAGAATCCTGAAAACTGACAGGCTATGTTGTATGTTCCATTTAAAAGTAAATTCTGTAAGGTGGGATAAAATAAAGTGTTGGGTTTTTATGTTTTCCCGAGGTCGCTTTTGGATGAGAGAAATATTTTCTGCTTAGCCTTAATAAAAATAGGAATTGCAGTTTGTCATCTGAGGAAGTAAACATTTGCAACTTAGCAATGCTGAGTTCAATTATTAGTCAGTTTTAAGTGGGAGGAAGATGAATCTGTTAAAACTTTATTTATTTTTTTAGTTAAGCACATGCAATTCTAAACTACTGTTTCAGCCACAGATGGTAGAGGACTAATCAAACTGGTTGTTAGCACTACACAGTTAGTGTATAGGTAAAATATCAGTGAATTAGACCGTGGAGCTCCATTTTGATGTCAGATGTTCATGCAGGATAGAGGAGAGAAATTTTGCACTTATTGTCAAGGAACTTCAACTTAGACTTAAAACTTCATTCCAAGGAGGAAGCCTGGCTGTTGCATTTAAACTTTCTATGCTCTAGTCTTTGTAGTATTGGCATTTTTAGCATTTGGAGCAAGTTCTCTGTCATGTGAAGCTGTAATGCTTCATCCTTTAAACAGAAAAAACAATAGATCCACACAGGCAGTACTTTCACTTGCTAGTTGTTACTTGTCTTTCCATGTGGAAGCTTTTTACTAGCCTTTTACTAAAGAAAGAGCCCAAATGTAAATGGTAACTTCCTCTGGTTTTCTTCCAGATGGCTTTTGAGATAAAGTGGTATTACTAAGGAACTGTGGTCATGTTGAGGACATGTCATTAAATTCCTAATGATCTGATGATATTTCCAGTAATGTTTTCTTTAGCCTTTATTACTTTCTTCTGTATTATAACCAATTACATAAAGACTGTTCTTCCACAGAATCATAATGAAGAACAAAACACCAAAAAATCCACCCTGTACTTGGATGAAAGATCAAAAATTCAATTGCTGGTGAAAGGTTATTCTCTGACAGTAGTTTTGGGTCAAAAAAGTTCATACGATTTTGAACTTATTTCTTATGGCTACCTCTTGGCCTCTAGATATATGTATGCAGATGAAATAGTGCAGAAAGAGCAGCTAAAATATTAAATTGATAAAGTGTTCATAATTTCTGTTCAATACAGCCACTTAATTTGTCTTAGCTTGTTTTTCTAAATGTAGTGTGTAGACAGAAACTACTGACATGAAGACCTCGCAAATGTGGTGTGTAATGTTAAAACATTAAATCTATTCAGCTGTCAATGAGTAGAAACCAGATGATTACAGTTGTTAAAAATGGCTTTTTGAAATTCTGTCTGCTCTATAAAGTAATGGGAGCAAGTTGGTGCTCTGAATTACCATTTCATTATTCTGATACAAATGTAGGAAATGTTTTACCAAAATGTTCACTAATGCTCCTGCATTTTAGATTTTGCCACTTTATCTCCACCCCCACCCCCTCCTGCCCCGACTCCCTCCTTGATATAACATTGTACTTTTGCTGTGGTCTGCTATTAGGTAAAAATAAATGAGTTACATACTAGGTAAACACATTTTTTTAACAGTTTCTGTATGTTTTCCTAGGGAGGTATGGGCGCAGCACTGCTGTCTGATCCTGACAAAATAGAGTCTGTAAGTATAATGTTGTGGGTTTTGAACTGCATTGAAAGGTATTATGTACTGTGCTCTACTGGAAGCAGAAATGAATGCATAGAAGACAAATTTATAAAAGCTAGAGTGGAATAATCAGTTTTGAATACTAAGATTAAGGTTATGGATAAATAATCCTGATTTAGTTCTACTTGTCATTGTCTGGACTATGAAATTGCTACCTTCTTCCTTTTCAGTTTAAAAAATTTCACAATGTGGTGCTATATTTGCAGAGGGTGGAATTTTACATACATATGTCTGTAAATCTGTATAAAACCCTATGTGAACCAGTAAGGAAAATGTTCATATGTATGTATATATTTGTGTGTACTTTTATATGTATATATATATAAAAACCTGTAGGAACCTATATGAAAAAGATACATACATCTATCTATACTTAATAGATACATGTAATATATGTCATATAGATAGATGTGTAATATGTTGGTGTTTTTATCCTAAGGACTTCTAAGCTTCCTGAGATTAAACAGAGTCCAGACATTGCTCTGGGTTCCCAGGAATATTCTTAGAATATAGTTCATTATCTTCTTTCTGTTTAAAGACCTAATTCTTCATAGTTCGATGAGTTGACTGTAAACTTTGTCTTGCTTCCCTTTGGCTTTTACTGTATCCTTCTTCAGAGTTCCTGAGGGCAATTCTAGTTTACAATTCGCCTCTCAGTAGTAACTGAATCATGGCACAGACTGGCAAATGTTTCGAGGCAATTATTCTTTATTTCTTGTACTAGCAAAAGTATGCAGATGTGGGCAAAACAAAAACACCAAAGGCATTGCTCTGCCTTTTTCCATGTGGCTTTTGAGTGTGTTTTGATTTAAGGGTTCTTTGATGTAGATCAGTCTTTTGAAGAGACCAGACTCTCTACACTCATCTGCTTGACTTTTTTCTTCCCCCTCCCCCCCGCCCCCCCACTGAATGATAGTCAGTGTCTTTCTGATTCCTGCAGTTCATGCCTTTTCCTTCTGTCTGAAACGGATGTTGTGTCAGTGTTTCTTTTGTGAGTCCTTCATCTTACTGTGATAACACCATTCAGCTTTGTAGGCTAGTAGGACTTCTGCAGTTTCAACAAACTGATCTATTGCATAGTTACTATTCTCTGTATGTTCAGACATGAAAACAGGTTGTTCTGCATCATGTATTTCATTCTCTGAGGACATGTCATTAGAAGGGCATGTTATCAAGGTTATAATCATGATGGAGCGTTAGCTTTTTGCCAAATGTAAGAATCTCTTGGTGTCAAGAGCCACATTGTTAGCCAAGCTGTATAAACTGACCATTCAGCAACTGGAAGCATTATTAATTGTGCTAAAGCAAGAGTTTAAATGGAATAGATTGGACCTAGTACTCTGTCTTTCATTAGCTGATGGGAAAAGCAAAAGTACAAGTGATCCAGTCTGGATCTCAAAACATTTTTAGAGAAGGTTGGTATCAGTCTTAATTTTTCAAAAGAGAAAGCAGCATCAGGTAAGTGTTATCTGCAGAAAGTCAGCTAACAATATAGGCGACAGAACTGGAACCAGAACCCAATTTTTTGAAGCCTATGTGGTGTTGCACAAATGGTGGGTGATACCATCCAGAATTAAATTGTAATTTATGAAGTATGAGGTGATGAAGGCTGACAGAAAAAAAAATTAAGAGTGGGAACTGAGAGAAAAAATATTTGCTAGAATATTATAGAATATTTATTTCTATTTTGCTAGAAATAAATCTAGCAAAAATATTTCTCATAGGAATGAAAGGCAGTTGTAAATGTGACTTCTAACAGCTTCCCTTTCCCTCTACAACCATTACCTTTTGTTTTGATTTTCAGAAGAGCAGAAAGCTTGATGTTCAAAAACTTGGAATTTTCTTTTCAATTTAACATGTTAATGGGCAGCAAAATCTTAGGCATGAAAATTACTCTTAGCCAACTGGACAGGGATAACTACACTCATAGCCTGCAAAAGACATCTGAAATTACAGGTCCAAATCAAGCTTTCCGTATGATTAAAAAGTGTAGAATTTGGTTCTCACATTGGAGTCCTTAAAGAGGCTGATACTGAAAACTTACAAGATTTGCTGATAATGCTATCGTAAGAGAAATGTTATAGTGATGATGTTTAGAAAACAATGTTTTAGATTTATATGCAAAAAATAATACAAATTAAAAATACTAGAGAGGAGTGGTTTAGATAATTTTATTGGATCTTACTGTTTTATTTGAGAGAACACTACTCAGGAAAGATTTGAGTAGACAGTGCAAGGTGACACTATTTACTTCTTCTAAGTATAAGAACTTGTGAGTGCTAGCTGTAACAGCCCATTTCTGTATTGGGAAGCTAAATAAGTGCAGTAATAGTAAACAAAATTCAAGTTTCATGGTATATACAACTCTGAAAGAAATCATTTACCTGCAGTTCCCTCCATTTTATACAAGGAAGTGTATTCAGAGTAACATGCATGGTAATATCTCAAAATCATTTACCTGCAGTTCCCTCCATTTTATACAAGGAAGTGTACTCAGAGTAACATGCATGGTAATATCTCAAAAAAACAGTTGAAAACCAAGTATATTCCTAATAAGTCAGGATCAGCTGGTTTTTACTCTTATATTTAGAGAGCTATTGGATTTCTGGTACCACTTACTGTATAATCATACAGTGATTTAAACCTGTATAGGCCATTACATGGCCCTTTTAGGTATGGTCTGTTGGACTTAAATTCAGCCTGTGAAAAAGAGATTGTTTCCACAGCTCAGTTCTTTAATGGTTAACCTAACAACTGATCATTTATCTGCTTATTCTGAATTTGTTTTAATGAATAAAATGTGCTTTGTGTGAAGCATGGAATTCAGTTTACAACCTTTGTTTTCTTTTAGAGGATTCAATGATGCTGCTTGATAATCCCCTCTTTTTTTTTCTTATTCCATTTTGAAGGCTTTCTTCCCTTTTGGAAAAAATCTCTTTTTAGGCAATACTTACATTTAATTTTCATAAGAAACTTTAAACTCTAATATAAGACAACTGTAAAAACAGTTGCATGAAAATGAAAAACTTTTGCACATTATTTTGAAATTATCAGATTTTACTGGTCACCTCATATTAAAAATAGTGTTGAAACTCTAGCAGCAGTTAATTGCTCTGTAAAAATCCAGTTAAAAAAAGAAGTGGAAATAAAAATGGCTTAGACTAGAAATAGGTTTGTATATCAGATAAAATTATATACTCGATTACAGACTGCATGTGTCTGTCTAGCATGTAAGATTCTTTGTAGAGGAACTGTAACTATTACTCTAATTTCTTTGTATCTTCAGGAGAGAAAGGAGGAGAGCTCCTTTAATGTCACTGTTGTGATCACATTTTTGTCTTCTTTTCTTTTTCCAGATATTGACTACCCTTGTTAAAGGAATTTGTAAACCAGTAACCTGCAAAATCCGCATTTTGCCTTCAGTAAGAATATAAATCATTATGCCAAAGTGTTTAGTTTTTTATTTATGTGATTTAAAATCAATTAGAGTATGTGGCATTCTAATATATTGGCGTTTTAGACCTGTCACTGTGAAATAGCACTTGGAATTATAATTTCTGTTGGAGATGCTGTCATGATCTAAAGGGTTGTCTGACCTGCAGGTATATAGAGATCATGATTGTGAGTTTGTCAGATTCCATGATACACAAGGACACAGAGGCTTTTATCCCCTAAATTTCTCAACTTTATTACAGATTACCACAAATACCACAAAAATCACCATAGCAAATATACCTATGATTAATAAAGCAAGATAGATATATATGTATCTCGAGCTAGCAACAATCAATAGCAGCAACAATCAATAGCAGCAACAATCAATAGCAGCAACAATCAATAGCAGCAACAATCAATAGCAGCAACAATCAATAGCAGCAACAATCAATAGCAGCAACAATCAATAGCAGCAACAATCAATAGCAGCAACAATCAATAGCAGCAACAATCAATAGCAGCAACCAAGAGCAGAAACAATCAATAGCAGCAACAATCAATAGCAGCAACAATCAATAGCAGCATATGCTATTACAAGTTACTACAAACTTACCACTAGTGAAGCAAACCTATCAATAGTATAACAGCAGATATAATTATGAGATGACTTTTATATATATATA